TCTTTTCATCTTTGCAGCCCTTGCCTTAGTTCAAGATTTTCAAGATCTCTTCAAACCTTCAATCGGGCTCAAAAATTATATTAAAATGTGAATTTTACCCTTCATTGATTACTTTACCCTCATTACCCTTGATTTCTTCTCAGCATTGAGGGAAGCGTGTTAGTTGTGAAGTTAATTTACGAATCAAAAGTCAAATTTACCTATCACAATGTGAGCGTATCTTTATCAAGGAGAAGCGAGTTTTGCATCTTGAATCATAATGTACAGAGAAGATGGAGCGATGGTTGCCTTGGTCGCCTCATAAATGCTATTGCGCGCCATCTTGTTGGTTCGATAGCTTGTGAAACGTCTTACAGCAAAGTGACCATTATCTCCTTTGGTCATCGTTCAAAATGAGTCGTTTCTGTATAGGCTGTTATGAAAATGTTTTATTTGTTTATGTGAAAATGTGGTAAGCGTGCTGGCGGTTCGTTTGGCTTACTACACACAACTTCTTAATATATATATATATATAAATGACTCCCTATTTTCCTTTGTCACGCCATCACGCGTGAACGGCTGGACCAATTTCACTCTTTTTTGTTGTGTTTGTTATTATCAGGAGAAAGATCTTATAAAAGAAAAATTTATAAATTGTCTGAAAAAGTCTAAAAACAACACTTTTCTATATTACACACACGAACACCAGCACGTATGATAGTGGTTTAAGTGTTAGATTTAATTTTAATTTATATGTAAATAATAAAATAAATAATTTATATGTATGTTCACTTATTAACAGTAATGTTCTCATTAACTCTCATTTTAAAATGGAAATTGTAAATGTCTTTGAAAGATACGTCTTTAAATTGCAAACACACTGTCAAATTTATAAGGAGAGGGGACCTGATGACCCAATAATACAAGCCTTAAGCTTAGTTTTGGTGCATCAGTCTCCCACAATATGAAAATTAATTTGTACATCCACCTTTTGAAATGCTATTGTGATACAACATATAATATATTGCATATAAATAAATAAAGAATTATTATTATATTATTATTATTATATATCGCCGTACAAAAGATTCGTAATAATACTTAAAAGTCAATTTGAACTTTAATACCATACCATAAAGTTTAAGTGTTAGTGGAGGGGTTCCGGGAAGGCAAAACAAGTGAGTGACTGTGGCAAAATGTCACTTGAAATGTTAACGTCTCTTTGCTTTGCATCACTACATAGTAAAATACAAAGTCGTCCCGCTGTCTGCCTGTCCCTATGTATGCTTAGATCTTTAAAACTACGCAACGGATCTTGATGCGGTTTTTTTTACTAGATAGAGTGATTCAAGAGGAAAGGTTCATATGTATAATACATTGCACTCGTGCGAAGCCGGGGCGGGTCGCTAGTTTTATGATATTTATTGAAGACTAGCTGACTCGGCAAACTTTGTTTTGCCACATAAATTATTTCTAGAGGGATCGGAACGCACGCATAAAATGTTTAACAGTTAGGAACGGAAAATAAAATTGTTGCTATTTTCATTTTCAATGCAATTTTTCAATGATTTCTCATCGTTTAAACCTTCCCTGAACTACCACATATATTTCAAAACCAAAATTAGTCAAATCCGTCCAGCCGTTCTCGAGTTTTAGCGAGACTAACGAACAGCAACCCATTTCTATATACAGTATGTCTTTACAATCGCGACGATAAAATGAAGACACATATTATAGAGGATAACTTTTTAAAATTGTATTAAATACTTACATTCTTCAAACATCAATATTTACAGAGTATCTATGAATGTATCTCTGAATGTATGAATCAGTCAGTTGAAGTTGTATAGGATGTTACCAATTTCATTTCATATTCACTTAATTAGTTTGTTTGAATTTTTTTTTTTTAATTATGTTATTTTAACATTAAGATATTGCTTGGGCGTGTTTAGTAGTAGTATTGTTAATTCAATGAGAAAAAAGTTTGAAATTTTTTCAGCGTGTATTGAGATTCAGCGCAATTACTGCTACTGCATACTAACGTGGTATGAATGGTTTAAAAGAAAAAATTTTGGAGGAATTTTTTGTACAAAAAAAGTTATAAATTTTGGTTTTTATACATGTCATCAAATAGACGTGTTTGCAGAACTCGCATTGTAAGTCTAGGATATATTATTAAACATGACGTAAAAACATTAATATTCTCTTCAACACGGCAAGTCAAGGCCCCACGCAAGACAACAGCGAAATTCAGTACTGTGTTTGGGCCTTGACTTCCGGCACAGCATAATGATGAGCTAGTTGTATTATACTATAATGTTTGTTAAAGTTATTTTTCATTTGTTTTATTTTTTACTATCTATTTATGTTCTCTTGCTTTACTGTATTATTTATAAGTATTTTATTTATTTCTTTTAAATTTTGTTAAATTTAGTTTATTTTTCTGTTTTCTTGTGCTCGTCCTCTCGTTTTGGTAAGTAAATGTATTTTCTTTCTTTCTTTCTTTTCTTTGGACTGATTTTTAGAAATTTAAAGTATTTTATAGTGCTAATATCTGCACGTACTTTTCATACTTTTTCTACATGTTTTAATGTTTTACTACATGTGTTAAGATTTTCGTCGGTGTGGCAATCAGCCGTTTAGCTTAGTGGCTAAAGCGTCAGGCCGCGAATGCCGAAGATGTGGGTTCGATTCCCACAGCGGCGACAATCTTTTCGTACTTTTTCTACATGTTTTAACTACGATTGATTTGTTGACATTGCAAATGCAAGCCGCACTGTAAGTTGTAACCGTTTAAAGTCGAATGGTATGACCTTTTGGAATCATGGAAATGAATGGAATCGAATCTTCACCTTTGTAAGAAATTGTAGCTTCGATGACTTCTTTATTAATTTATTCACAGCTAGTCGGGTGCCATTACAAAAACGTGGCTAGCTTCTGTTCCGCAACATAATAATTACCGATCCGATTATTTGCAGATTATGAGGTGTTTTAATCCGAATTATTTTCAGTTTACATTCTTATTACTACGACATAATTTGCATACTCGTGATACTATTAACCAAACTGTACAAATACTTCTGTAAAAACCATAAAAAATTGTTAATTAACAGAGTAAAGTTTTTATTTTAATGTAAATGTTACAGTTAATACCTGTTTCATCGCGATTTTTCTAGTACAATCTTGTTTTTTTTACTAAATTCCTTTATTACAACTAGAATTAACCGCTATTGTAAATACAGTAATACTAGTAAAATAATTAATATTGTCAGTAAATAAAAATAGGTAACACAAAAATTATTACTTGCAGAAGGTTTTACGCCAAGCAATTATCTGCGTGAGCGTACGATTGACATGAGATGGTGATGATATTCGAAGGCTATTTTTCCGCATGCGGATATTTTTGAGCCGCACCGGTACCAGGCTAGCAGTTCAGTGTAGGAGGTCGCATTTTATTCCCAATGACGTCATACCAGGGTTGTGTGGGCGGTTGCCTTTCATTCCAGTGACGTTTTAATGGGTTATTGATCCATTTTAGTGACACGTGGTTTTGTTACAAGTACGCATGCGTCCTACCAACTGGTTGGCATTGGGGGTAAAATACTGGGAGCGCATAAATGAAGGGTGGCTTAAGATCTCGGACGCCCAGAAGTGAAGCAAGTTTGTTATGTCCTTAATATTGCCACTGAAATATTTATATATTTTTTTAAAACCCTGATAATTCAAATTGCTTGAATCGCATTTTCATTTTCATTTTATTATATACCAATATTTAAGTGTTTCTAACAGTCAAAAAAGTTTCGAAAATTTTCAGTAATATTTTGTATTATTTTTGTTTATAAATAGTAATCTATATAACCTAATCATAATTAACTGAAATTTGCAGATATTAGAAAAATGTCATCATTAACACTAGATGCACCAACAGAGTCCTAGTAAGCGATTAATGTCGGTTTCAAATAAATAACAAAATTAGCCGTTGCCACATAATTGAAATGTATACAATAGTAAATATAAAAGACTAGTAGAACCTTGCGAAATTTTCTCACAGGTCTGTGATCAGTCACAGAATGGTAATATACTGGTTACGCCAATTAAGCATAATTTAATAATTAAATTAATATATGGTACATACATCCATTACCCTTCCCTTACCTTATTCATCCTATTGCACGTACTGCCGCCTAAGGCGTCGCCAGCGCCGCGCGGCGGCGATAGTTTTAAAAAGTCGTTATCCCGCAACCGCACGAGTGACATTGCGCTCCTCGTTATATTTTAATTATCCCGGACATTGAGTCCTAGTAACGCTCCCTATTGATGTGTCGCGCCCTTCCGCGATTACGATAAGTCGAGAGTGTGGAGTGTGGCTATCCAGGAACTTATTGAACACTGCAAAGTGCGTGTACCGAACTACGTGGCGTGCCCGCCGGTGTTGGCTGCATCCCAGGGAGCGCGAGCGCTTGGCTGCCGTCGCAAGGTTAGTACGTGCATCTCGCCCACCTTCCTAGCTCTGCTTATTGTATGTACCAATACAGTCCACTAAATTCTATCGAAGAAACCTACCATTATTGGCGCGACCATCATTTTAGTGGTCCTAGCGAGCCGCATTTTATATTTGGTCCACCGAACCGCAGAACTTCCGCCCTTATTAGGATACTTAAGATAGGCCCTAATAAGTGATATTAGTATAACATTATATAATTACTAACCAATTATCTTAATTTTAAACCTTTCATTTGAATGACATTGCGTCATCTAACTTGTTGAACAATTCCGCTTATATATTTCATAATTTATAGACCATACAGTTTATTCTTGGATTTATTTACATACATATATATTCCTTATATTCGTATTTAAATATTCCATAAGTTTCATACTAATATTACATTGCTATTGGTTAATATTAACAAATATTTCTAACTGCGTATTATCCGACCGCATAGCGAAGTCGTGCACTTTGTACGTGAATCACGCTTCGTTTACTTTCAACTTTATTTAGTAGCATAACTTTAGCTATAATGCCGCCAAAGAAACAACTTGCATCGAATAAAAGTGATTCCTCGGATAATGAGGGTACACCTGACGCCGCGTTAGTTTTATTGTTAGCTAAACGCGATGCCATATTTGAAATAGTGCAAAAAATATATGACATGTCTACGAACATTGATACAAATACTTTAATGTTGGAACGTTTTCTTGACGAAAGTTCTAATATCGATGCATTACGTATTGAATTTAAACAGACTTTAGATAGTTATAACACTCATTTATTAAAAATAAATCCTATCGCGAAGCCCGATTATAACAGTCTTATTACGTTTGAGTCACTTTACGGAAGAATAAGTCGACTTCGTTTACAATATTCCCAAACTAGTAATTTACAGAATAATAATAATGTTTTATCTAAAACTAGCATTGCACTTCCGCCTATCGAATTAATGACATTTTCGGGTGATATTCGCTCATGGCCTTTGTTTTATACCAGCTTCAAATCCACTGTTCACGATAATCCATCGCTCACCGATGCTGAAAAGTTATATTATTTACTTGGTAAGCTTACTGGCAAGGCTCTCTCTGTATGTTCAGGCATAACTCCATGCGCTGAAAATTATAAAATTTTATTGCAAGCACTTATCGATAAATACGAAGACAAACGTATGCTAGCCTCCGCTTATATAAATCAGATGTTCGAATTCAAACCATTGCTTTCGGCTTCCGCTAATGATTTTGATTTATTTACTGATAACTTTATTAGTGCAGTGCGCGCTTTACAAAACTTAAAGTTAGACAATCTAGCGGATTTGATCGTTCTTCATATTGCCCTTAAGAAGCTCGATTCGGATACTATTCGCACTTTCGAATTAAATCATAGCTCATCGATTCCTACATTTGAGGACTTTGTTAATTTTATTAAAACCCGCGCTAAAGTTCTGCAACGAACCGACACTTGTATAAATTCAAATAGTATAACGAATATTCGTCGAAACAATAATAGTAACCGCCGCTGTAACAATACTTCGTCGCCGAAGTATCAGACTTACGTTAGTACGACGACTAGTTGTTCTAACAAATGTTTGTGTAATAACATTGTGCATCAACACTTATTTAAGTGTCCGCAGTTTAATAAAATGACACCGCAGGAACGATTTACTTGCGTGAAGAGTAACAATGCATGTGTTAACTGTCTCAGTTTAAGCCATCGAGTATCTGGCTGCTCATCAAATTATACCTGTCGAGTTTGTAAGCGTAAACATCACACATTGCTGCACTTCCAGCGTGGAAGCGATAGTTCATCCTCTGCGCCGGCGCACGCTCTGTCGCCTCAGCAACCTGTACTTAATTCTGCGCCACCCGCTCATACCGCGCGCGTTAAATCGCCACCTCTCAACTCGGGTGCGCGTTCGGACGTCGCTCTGTGTACTTCGTTTGCGAACGTTTCGCAACAATCGTCACCTTCTGCGCGTGCGAACGATTCGCGGAGTACCGTATTACTCTCAACCGCTCAAGTCCTTACATACGACGCTCGGGGAGATAAACAACAAATAATTCGCGTGTTTATTAGACTCAGCATCTCAAAGTCATTTTATTACTAAGGAATGTTGTCACCGCTTAGGAATTCAGCTTCATGACGCCGAATGTACTACAATAAAGGGATTCGGCGGAGTAGAAAAAATCGTTAAAACAAAATCTATTAATATTAATATATTCTCCCGCTTTGACCAAAATATTAATTATCATATTTCACCGCTGGTGGTCGATCAAATCACCGACGAAATGCCCACCTCTTTAGTAGACTCATCTGTGCTAAAACAGTTTCATGGCTTACAGCTCGCCGATGAATATTACGGCGTGCCTAATAAAATAGATGCATTGATAGGTGCATCTCTTTTCCCACACTTGCTATGTCCTGGCGTAATTCGTTCTTATGATTCCTCTGGGCCCGCAGCAATACGCACGGTGCTTGGTTACGTCATTATGGGTTCCGTACCGACACTGCAAATGAGTAAGTCATTAACTTGTTGTATAGTTCAAGAGTCTCCTTATATTGAAAAATTAGTGCAACGTTTTTGGGAGCTTGAACAGCCTCCTTCCGCGCCGCCGCCCATTCAGTGTCCTTCTGACATTGAATGTGAAGAGTTTTATAATTCGACGACATCACGCGATCCTGTTAGTGGCAGATACATTGTCGGCCTGCCATTTAAAGACGACGTTTATTCTCTTGGAGATTCTTACGAGACTGCTCGACGACGATTCATGTGCTTGGAAAGAAAGTTAGAAGCTTCACCTACATTAAGGTTGGCATATGATGACGTCATAAAGGAATATTTAGCCAAGGATTATATTTCACCCGCACCGCTATATGACTCTCGTGAAATCACTCCATTCTATGTTATCCCGCATCACGGAGTCTTACGTGAAGACAAGAAGTCGACTCGTCTGCGCATTGTCCTAGATGCTAGCAGTAAGACTAGCACTGGCCGATCGCTAAACGACGTCTTGCACTCAGGGCAGAATTTGCAAGGCGATTTATTCAACATTATTTTAAATTTCCGTTTACATCCAGTGGCTATGACAGCCGACTGTCGCCAGCAATTCTTGCAGATCGTTATTCGTGATTCTGATCGTCGTTATCAATGTTTTCTATACCGCTTCAATCCACATGATCCACTTGTGCTGTACCAGTTCAATCGCGTATGCTTCGGTTTAACATCTAGTCCTTACCATGCACTGCGCACGGTGAGACAGCTTATCGATGACGACGGCGCGATGTATCCACTAGCGAGTCGTATCGCATCTACCTCACTATACATGGATGATGTCGCTTTCTCCTTGCCTAGTGAGTCCGAAGCCAGTGAAGCCTCTCAGCAGCTGATTGACTTATTCAAGGGTGCACAATGGGATCTTATAAAATGGAATAGCAACTATCAATCCGTTTTAGATAACCTCCCTGCTTCTCATAAAATTACAAAGGAAGTGGAGTTCGATAAATCGATGCAGCATAAGATATTAGGCTTGCATTGGTCTACCGATAGTGACGAATTCTATTTTAAAATATCTATTCCCGATGATGTGACGTGCACTAAGCGCTCCATCTTATCTACTGTCGCCCGCCTGTGGGACATAATGGGTTTCGTTGCTCCCACAGTCGTGTACGCTAAGTTGTTAATAAAACAGCTTTGGCAACTTAATTTAGACTGGGACGATGTACCGCCGCCGCCCATCATTAAGATGTGGAAGCAGTTTTGTGCTGAATTACCAGATCTCAATAATTTACGTATCCCACGACATGTTGGTGTCACTAAAAATTGTATTGTCACCCTCATGGGTTTTTTCCGATGCCAGTGAACATGCATACGGTGCCGTTGTATACCTACACGTAAATGTGATCAATGGTAATACCGTTCGGTTGGTCTGTGCTAAGACTAAAGTTGCGCCAACAAAGCCACTATCCATCGCTCGCCTCGAACTTTGTGGAGCAGTTTTATTGTCAAAATTGCTTCGCAGAGTCCTCGACAACTACTCTCTTGGTTACCCAATATCAGTCTACGCCTTTGTAGATTCAAAGGTCGTTCTGTACTGGATAAGAAGTTCGCCTCACAAGTGGCAAACATTTGTTGCAAATCGCGTTGTTCAAATTACAGACAATATTCCCGCTGATAGCTTTTACCATGTCGCTGGCACCGAGAATCCCGCTGACATCCTCTCGCGTGGTATTACACCACATAAGTTAATTTCACACCCTCTGTGGCTTCATGGGCCTCAGTGGACTTCGTTAGATCCGTCTCAGTGGCCACTTCGAACGTTAGGTGAAGAGATTATTGCAGACATTCCCGAGAAGAGGATATTGTCGCACATTGTGTGCACATCTGTTGATAAGTGTACATTATATGACCTCGCTCTCCGCATCTCTTCTTGGAGTAAACTTCTACGTATAATTGTTTACGTATGTAAGTTTGCCAAGTTACTGCCCCGCCGCAGCACTACTGCAGTGACTGCTGATGATCTCAGTTTCGCTGAGATTTTAATTCTCCGCGCTGCTGAAAATAAATATTTTGCAGCAGAATATATAAATATTAAAAATTGTAAACCTTGCTCACCCGCTTTTAATCGTTTAAGACCATTCATAGACAACGGTCTGATCCGTGTAGGTGGTCGTCTTTCCAATTCCGTATTAGATTACAGTCATAAGTATCCCGCTATATTACCGCGCAGTGATCATGTAGTGAACATGATCATTGATTATTATCATATTAAACATTTACATGCCGGGCCTGAATTGCTGATGTCGCTACTTCGTCAAAAATTCTGGATCCTATCCGCACGCAGCACTGTGAGGCAAAGAGTCCACAAGTGCAATATATGTTTTCGGCTTAGACCGCGTCCGACCTACCCATTGATGGCTGATCTACCCCAAAGTCGTACATGTCAAGTCGTTAAGGCGTTTACCCATACGGGCTGCGATTATGCCGGTCCCATCGCATACACTCCTGTACGCCGACGCGGTATACGTAGTGAAAAGGCGTATTTATGTATTTTCACGTGCCTTACAACTCGGGCCGTCCATATTGAAGTCACTACAGATCTAAGTACTCCTAGTTTCCTATCCGCGCTGAAACGTTTCCTCTCCAGAAGAGGCCCAATTCAGTTTTTATATTCAGATAACGGAACGAACTTTAAAGGCGCCGCTTCGTATCTTCGCGATCTTTATAAGTTTATAAACCTAGAATATCGCCCAAAGCTCGAACAGGAGTGCGCCGAAAGCCGCATTACATGGAAGTTTATTTGTCCCAATTCCCCTCATTTTGGAGGCGTCTGGGAGAGTATGGTGAAAGTCATTAAAACGCATTTGTTCAGAGTTATTGGACAACAGTTACTTTCGTATGAAGAGCTTAATACTGTACTTACGCAAATCGAATGCTTGCTTAACTCGCGGCCGCTAACAGTATTAAGTTCTGATCCCGCAGAGCCTACAGCTCTTACTCCGAGCCATTTTTTAAACACCACACCTTTATTATCTTTACCCGCAGCTGAAGTAGAATCCGACCAAGTCAGTCTGCTTCACAGACATTCTTTGCTGGATAAGTTAGTCCAGTCGTTTTGGAATCGGTGGAGGATGGAATATCTACACGGGTTACAAGTTAGGCAAAAGTGGAATACATTGTCTGCGCCTATCACTCCAGGTACCGTCGTGATTGTAATTAACGATAGCGTACCACCCCTAGCTTGGCCATTAGCAATTGTCGAGTCAGTTCATCCTTCAAAGGATGGTATAGCTCGCGTAGTAACCGTGAGAACCGCTAAGGGGACTTACCTTCGTCCTGTTATTCGCATTTGTCCTCTCCCGAACCAATAATTTAACCGCATCAATCACACTTACCTTCTTATATATTAAGATAGTAACAGATAAGTTAGTTTAAACATATTAAAATAAGTTAAACCGCAATATTACTAATATTTATTTGTATATTATATGTATTTCTATCGTATAATAAGTATGTTCAATAATGCGCAATGCGCGCTATCTCTTACTCTGTTCTACTTTAAGTACGTTTATCTTATGGTTGTCTTTAAAGGTGACCCTTTAAGGGCGGGAGGAAATGGTTACGCCAATTAAGCATAATTTAATAATTAAATTAATATATGGTACATACATCCATTACCCTTCCCTTACCTTATTCATCCTATTGCACGTACTGCCGCCTAAGGCGTCGCCAGCGCCGCGCGGCGGCGATAGTTTTAAAAAGTCGTTATCCCGCAACCGCACGAGTGACATTGCGCTCCTCGTTATATTTTAATTATCCCGGACATTGAGTCCTAGTAACGCTCCCTATTGATGTGTCGCGCCCTTCCGCGATTACGATAAGTCGAGAGTGTGGAGTGTGGCTATCCAGGAACTTATTGAACGCTGCAAAGTGCGTGTACCGAACTACGTGGCGTGCCCGCCGGTGTTGGCTGCATTCCAGGGAGCGCGAGCGCTTGGCTGCCGCCGCAAGGTTAGTACGTGCATCTCGCCCACCTTCCTAGCTCTGCTTATTGTATGTACCAATACAGTCCACTAAATTCTATCGAAGAAACCTACCATTATTGGCGCGACCAAGTATTTATCAATAAAAGGTATCTTATTTTATCTTTTTTGGTAGAACAGTAAAATTCAGTCTATTCCGCTATCTTCCATTTAAACAAATTGGCAATAGGTTAATAAATTCTATAGATGTTTATTACAAATATTTTTTTATTAATTACCTTTAATCTATTTGTCTAATTTTTCTCAAAATTGAAAAATATAAAAGGCGTTTGTATCGTTTAATGTGATGAAGAAATATGGAAGACATGGCATGCCGACACATACCACCTTTGAGAAATAATATAAAGACAAAACGATACAAACAACAACACGATAGAAAATGTAATTTAATGTCATGCACATAATACGAGACAGTCATTACAAAATATTTTTAGATATTATTTTACACACCTTTTGATTTTCTCTGTTATGAACCACCTTTAAGATCGTCACTTCTTCCGAATTTAGACTGACAAAAACGTCATTTAACTTTTAAATTAAGAGATATCTAACAAGAAAGTCATGATTACGTATCAGATATTTAAGGACACTCGCTATGCGTGGAACTTACAATCTCAATTGCTTCTGTAGACGGGCGGGTACAGCTACGAATGTAGTCTGGCGAGTTAAATGTCCGTATGGACAATTTGTCTCAGCATTTAAAAGCCATAATTATTAAAGCCTCGGTCAGTCACTTGGAGTGGTGACAATCTTGAATTAAATATTCTTTATATTAAACTTAATGGTTGCAAGTCCATTCAAAGTAAACTAAATTTTGATACATTATTTGCCTATATTCTGTGAAGATTAATCCACCTGTCACTTAAATCGTACATCTGGTTTGTGTGTGGTAGGGTCACGCAACAGTCATCGGTGTTGCATGAATGGGCAGGCCCGTCCGGGAAATTACCTGTCCACGACCACGGACGCCACCTCACAGAAGACCGACGTGAAGCGCAAGTGTTTTACATCTACATGACGTGAGCTAGCCGGAGGCCACTTTATTGAAAGGTGGCAACGCAAGTTGGTGTTTATCGTTTAAAATCAAGTGAACCGCTACAAAGACTTCTCACATACAAATAATCTGGAATTTCAACGAGGATCTTCTTATCAAACAATGTTTTGGAATGTTTTACATCTGGTGCTGGCGTAGAAACGTTTTCTCCGCCTCACATATTCGTATCGATGTATCAATGTATCAATGTTTGAGGTTCAATGTGTTACATTGAACCTCAAACATCGATATTCAAATACCAGGATATCACAAATGAACAGAACACGTTTTCAGGTTCCGCATCGCATTCTCTCTCACTCTGGAGGCGTGTACTGTGCGCACCCTCCAACGGCAGGGTTGTCCATAAATAATCAAATATCTCAAAAATTTTATTAAACTTTTCATCTAGCTTTAATTCGACATCTTCACTATTTACCTTCACATCTGAGCATCTTATCCAAACATTTAAAAAACTTAGTAACTTATGATAACCCGTTTTTTGAAAATAATTTAAACTAATTGTTTCGATAAGTTAAAAGTGTATTCTTAAGAATATTAACTATAATCCTTACTAATATTATAAAGGCGAAAGTCTGTATGTATGGATGGATGTTCGTTACTCTTTCACGCAAATAATACTAAATGGATTTTAAGGAAACCTTACAATAATATAGATTATACATCAGAATAAGACTATAATTTATATAGATATTTTCATTTATATCTGCCTTTCTGTTTGAATGTTACGTCTTCAGCCTATACTACGCAGACGTAGTCGCCGGCAGCAGCTAGTATTAACGATAATAAGAAATTTAGTTTAACAACCCTATAATTGGGCGTGACCAATGCTAAGAGCGACAGGGAGACGCGATTCTCTTGTTCGTTCGCACTAACGGCAGGCATTTTCGCGCGTTTTGGATGCCTCCTGAAAACCATCAGCTGCTTATCGCTGACATCCTAGTCTCACGTTTTCGTAATTTTCGAATCGTGCGACGATGCGCCCGATTTGTTCACAAACACTCCAGCTTTGTCAGTTAAGTCTATTCAAATTCTATATAGAAGCATAAACTATACTTGTTTATTGTCAGAATATTTACTCTGGTTCGAAAAAGAAGACCTAAGAAAACCGGCGAAATAAACTCGGTGTGACATTTGTTTATTACCATTATTTGACAGGAAACGTGTTTACAATGTCTTAAAGTATCATTGACCAGGTATCTTAAAGTATCATTAATTTATCAGTATTAATTATCATCATATATCAGGCTCAGGTCGTGTTAATTTTTATAAAATAATCACTAATAGGTATTATAATATAGTCTATAACACAAAATCATTCCTTTACAATTTTGAAATTTATAATCTTTTATAATTTGTCTTCATGAGGACAGTACTCCACACCCTCTCGCTGTCAACCATACCACGGCTGGCAGCTAGAGGTCGTGCCCCACGATAGCGCACAGCCCTCGGTGCAGCTCCGTCCAGGCGGGGCATCCTTCCAGCGCGTGTTGGGCCGTCTCCTCGGTACATACCCTTCTTACTCGCGTAACAGATACCTCCCGAAACACCCATGTCCCGAGAGAGCTGGAGTCGCACGGTATGAGGGTGCCTTGTCGCCTGAGAGCCTAGTTTTTTCTGTATAATGTTTATTTTATTGACAATGGACTTGTTTGTGTGTTTCGCGTGTTTCCGCCCACGGTATGCGCAAAATTCTCCTCCAACACCACATTTGGAACGCTTCGATCTTTTTCCGTTCCACTTGATTTGACTTGACTAAGATTCGCAGTCGTGTCGCGAATACTAGGCGTCTTCACAAGTCCCATTTTTGTTTTTTTTTTTGGTTATATTTCTGTTTCGCCAATTTCTAGAAATTATATACCAATAGATCAGTAACCAGTGATCAGGAAGTGGCGAAAAGGATATTTGGAGACGCACTCAGATTGGGATTTGACGAATAAGCTCCCGATAATCAATATATTCGAAACTGAAATACCAGGAGACCAGAATCAAAGAGGAGGTAGTAACCAGGCGAATCGCGGTGCGATCACGGGCGTGAAGAGAGAAGTTGCTCTCGCTTTCCTGCTCTTTCAGGGGGCGTGCACAACGGGCGTGTAAAGTTAAGGTGGCTAAGCGGTACGGAGAAAAACATAAGACTTCAAAAATATGTACTCCTTCGAACTCTTTTCATTTTGAAGTTATACTTCTTTGGAAGTTATATTTTTGGCAGGTTTGGAAGAAAAGGAGAGTAAAATTTTTACCATGCGTGCTTATACCGACTGTCAAAAAGCGACACGTGCAAGTGACCTAACTTCACGAAATTACCATGGCACCTATAATAACTTTTTGACATTTACCTGTAATTCCATTTTTTTTTAAATAAACCGATCACATTATATTATTGTCTTTTAAAAAACAAACAGTACTGACACAGGTGATAAAATTTTTAGTTATTTTCTTTTGTTACCTTAAAATAATGAGTTCAAAGATATTTCTTTTAATTCTTGTTATTCGTTAATTATTCATTATCATAAGTAACTATTCGATGATTTAAATAAATTGCAATAGTTTACTTTTATTATTATCCCGTACCCTATTTTGTCGCCCTAGCATCGAGTTTGTTCCCACCCTCAGGGAGAGGCAGTGAAGCGCGAGGCGCTTCTGTGTTCAGACGTACAGTCCTCTACGACGAGCCTTCAGAAAGAGACCTCCTGCTAATTATGGTCTCCTGGTACTTTGCTTTCGTAAATTTTGGTTATAGCGGTTATTTTGACACAACTTTACCGTTTTTGTAAACTTTTCGTGTTACTTCGTCTGTTAATTAATAAAGGGTTTTCTTTGATATTATATGAAAAAATATGAAGCTATTTTCATATAAAAAAAAAACATCTTTCATCAAAACATCTTTAAAATTTAATAAATATTTTGTGCAATCTGAGATGTATAGTAATTATTTTTTAAGTCTACCACTTAACTATCCACATCCATTTTGACAGATTAAATTATCATATAAGAAATTATTTTTCAATTAAATTATTCATCTGGCTAAGATTAAAATGAAATTTATATATCAAATAATAGGATACAGTTTCTATCTAACTCTATATTATTTTCGAACATTTATGCGCTTTTGTTTATTTTTTTTTAATTTTTAGCGAATTTATTATATTCGGAGTCCTTGCACAATTACTTTGATATCATGTTTGATACAAATTAATATTACGTTTCAGAAGATACGAGCCAAGAAGACAAGAGCTACTTTAATTACTAAAGACTTGTTTTGTTTTGTTTAATTATTTTGGATTTTTACGTTAGTCTTGTATAGTAAAAAACACGGAAGTCATTAACCATTTTCCTTAAAGTAAGAAACCAAAAGAAATACAAAATCAATTTAGTAAACCATATTTATTCACATTTACATACACGTATAGTCAGTATTTAAGTGGATTTAAAAATACATTGATCTAATTATACATAGCGTATATAACGAACACTTTTTCATGCCGGTCTTTACAATTTGGGTGTCGATGCGTCAGTTCGGCGTAGCATGGGCATTTTACTCAAAGCATGAATTTATTACTACCTAAAAAAAATAAACTCGTGACATAATTGTAGTTGAAAATAAATATCGAATTTATTAATTTACATATAGTCTAGTATAGTGTAGTTTACGTCTAGTTAGACATCAGCATGTTTCACTTACTGCAAACGGAAAAGAAATACAACTTTTTAATCTATATTGTTAGAGGAATAGTGAGACAACGTCACCATGGAGGGAGGTGTGCGGCACCGTTAACTTGTTTTAAGAAGAAAACCTCTGCCCGATGGAAAATGTCCAACTGCTTATGTTCTGATTTTGTATTGGATAAAATGGAGTCTTATGTAATTTTCTTACAGAATTAGTAAGAAGTTGAATTGTTTTGGTTTTTGGGATTGATTTTGCTTTATTGAGACATAAAATTGTCATAGTTTGTGTTTATTGCGTGTGACAAATTATTTTTTAGAAATAAATGCTTATTGTGCTTAGCGTACTCATATTTTTCGTAACTTATTGCTATCTACAGTAAAGATAATGCCTAATAAAAGTCTTAAGAATAGAACTCGCTCTAGGAGCCACAACTCGCGTAATAGAAAAAGTAAGTCGCTGAAAGTCGCGCTCTAAACGTACTTCAAAGCGACATGATTCTCTTAACTTGGTAACTGAAAAAATGCAAAATATTTTTGATCGTTTGACTGCATTGGAAGAGCAACGCCGTCATCGCCGCCGCGCTCACACGAGCCGAGCGCCAGTGCGCCCTCATTGATACCCGCCCTCATTGATACCCCACGGGCGTGCTCGGTGACTGCGACTGTAGCTGAGCGTAGGATTTTGGTGGCAGAAGGTCGAGGTTCTGCTTTCCGTCCTCGCCAGGGCGTTCCGTTAGTGCTACTGCACAACTAAACTGTGACACAAGCGTAACCGATCGTATCATGGACGCGATACGTTCAATCAACGCAACGGTGAGATCTAACCAATAGTATTGTATAATCAATTTCGATCCAAGCATCAACGATATAGACACCTGGTATGAGGAAGTTGACCGTGCCAATAGTTTAAACTATCGAATGATAACGAGTGTCTGCCTCGCATAGGCAACTGCCTGAAAGGTGATGCTAAGTCATGGCTCAATGAATGGCCACCAATGACCGTAGTTGGAGCAATTTTAAAAGGAGTTTAAACCGTTGTGCCCTAACAAACCGGATATTGCAATTATTTTGTATGAAGTCATGATTAGGGACTAACTCTGATAAATACCCAACATACACCGATTATGCTCGCCGAACTTTGTGCCTTCTGTAATAAAAACCTGGTCATAAAATTAATTGCTTTTCAAAACATCTGATTTTCGTAACACATACAGCGTCAACTTCTGCTAGGAAAATTGTTTTAATAAAAACAAAGGTACACAGTAGTAGCGATCATACAGGGAGTTCCCGTCGATATCCTTATAGATAGCGGATCAAGTTTGTCCTTGATTTATTCATCGTTGTTGGGACACTTTAAATGTACACGCAAGCCAGCTTTCAGAAATTTAAGATTCAAGTCAAAACTTTAAAGCAATAATCTCCTAAACATAATTGTATTGGTGTAAACAAAAGACATTTGCAATTATTTTTTGTCAAGACTTGCATTCAATTATCGCATTCAATTTTTTCTACTATATCTGCGTGTAAACAGTAGCTTACAATTCTTGATGGCAAATTACTGCTCTTAATTTATTGCATTCAATTATTGCTCTTGTATGTACAAGAAAATAGCAGCGTGTAAATGGGCCTTAACTCGCGTCACAGACGACGCAGCCCTTCTAGCAATGTTTTAACTGTCACAATGCAACAAATTCTGAATAGACTAACATCATTGGAGGAACAACACTATACGGCTTCTTCACAACGAAGGCAGCCGAGTGAGTCTGTGGCGCCTGTGGCAGCTGTTGGCGACAAGCCCGTGACCGTGGCCAAGTCTGTGGCGTCTCACTGTGGCAGTCTGTGGCTGTCTGCGGTGCCTGTGGTAGCCGTCGGCGCTGAGCCTGCGACGGTAGCAGAAGCTCGTGGTTCTGCTGTGCCGTCCACGCCAGGATGTTCCAATACTTGTGATGGACTATCTGTCAGGATCAGTTACAATGGACAGGCCCGTCGGGGTAAGTACCTCGACCTCACAGAAGACCGGCGTAAAGTGGAAGTATAATACTTTGGCGTTTCATCTGGTGAGTGAGGTAGCCGGAGCCCAATCTCCAAAAAGGTTGTCAACGCATCTGCAAGCCCTCAGGTGTAGCAGATGTCCATGAGCGGTGGTATTCGCTTAACATCAGGTGAACCGAGCAGACGCTCGTTTGGAAACCTTTTCACATAAAAAAATACTTGAAGCTGTGCAGGAATATACCTACCCTGGCCAAACTATACAACTAGGCCGGCACAACTTTGAAAAAGAAGCCAACCGAAGAATACGCTTAGGCTGGGCGGCATTCGGGGAAGCTACGTTTTTGAGTTGTCAATACCGCAATGCCTCATGTCCAAAGTGTATAACCAGTTCGTCCTCACCACCGTGGGGCTGGACCACAAATTCAAGGTCGCTCAGCAGGCGATAGAACGCGCAATGCTTGGGGTTTCTCTGGCAGACAAGATACGAAATGAAGTCCTTCGCCAGAGAACTAAAGTTATCAACGACAAGTGGAAGAGGGCTGGCCATGTCTCCAGACGTACTAATGGTCGCTGGAGCCGACACGTGTTAGAGTGGACACCACGGTTAGGATAACGTAGTGTACGATGGCCTGCACCACGATGGACTGACGACTTAAGAACGAAACGGCGGGCAGCGGATGAATGCGGGCTGCCCAGGACCAGGATAGTTGCCGCACTTTAGGGGTGGCTTACGTTCAGCAGTGGACGTCAATATACTGATATTTTTGTAATAGAAAAAATAATAATTAGATAAATGCAATGCATAGAATTATTTGAAAATAATATTCATTCCTTAATTCCTTCTGTGAGGCGTGGAGAAACGTCGATAGTCAAATATCGATATTCAGATACCAGGATATCATAAACGAAGAGAACATATGTTTATGTGCGTCGCATTCTCTCTCACTCTGCAGGCGTGTACTGTGCGCTCCCTCCACCGGCAGGGTTGTTCATAAATCATCAGATATCTCACAGATTAATTTAAACTTATGACCAAGCTTTAACCCGACATCTTTACTGTTTACTTTTATCTCTGAACTTCGATCCAAACGTTGAACAAATTTAATCAATTATGAAAACCTGTTTTTGGAAAATAATTATTTCAGTCAAAATTACAAAATCTTAAAATACAGTTCAAAAAGACAAAATTTCAAACGAATCTAGTTTAACAACCCTAAAACAGGCAGAGTTGTTTATAACTTTTCACAGAGCTCTAATTTGACATCTTCAATATTTAACTTCACATCTGAGGATCTATCCAAATATTCAACAAACTTAATCAATTATGATGTTTTTTGAAAATAATTAAAACTAATTGTTTCGATAAGTTAAAAAGTGTATTCTTAAGAATCACGTTCAAAAAATATTAACTATAATAAATACAAAATATTTACAGA